AAAAAATTATATAAGGATATAGAATTCATATAAAAATACCAAGCAATTCATATTAAGGACGAAAAATCAAATTTACGAAAAAAAAATCAAATAAGAAATAAATATAATGTATGAGGAACCAAAAACAGTATATTAAACAAGGATAATATTGTAATAATATTAAGGAAGATTGAAAAAATTGGGATTATATGATTATTATTATTCAATAATATATGTACTCGTAATATGCATGTATGAATACTATTAAGAATATTATAGTGGCAGGAGTTTTTCATTAATTTAATATTAAAAGTAAAAAAATGCCGAGGCAAATTACTATCATTGGAGTAAACTGCCAATTTAGGGAAGAAAATCGACAATGATAATAATAGTACAGTTGACACCCTGTATATTATTTGCATTTGCTCTCCTGCGATGATTACAATTTTAGAAATTTACTCATTATTTCTTTCATTTTCGGAATTCCAAAGTGTATTCCAATAAATTTCCGAAAGAAATCCAAAATGTACCAAAGAATTTTCCTCGAAAAATTATGATTAATTTATAATGAATTTAAATTAATGGTTTCTTAATCTATGCAAGAAATAATTTTCAAATTCCCAAATTCAAATTTTCATATTAGAAATTTTACTATAAACGGTTGAGTACTCTTAACTTTAATGCTTAATTGCATCGTTTAGAAATAATTAGGAATCGTTTAAATTGATAATGATATTCAAATTTTTATTTTACATTGAATAATATCTGTAACGGTACCTTCTCCTCGCACTCGTATTGATAAATTTTCAATTACTTTGAAAACGATTCAAAAGATGAAGCGCTAGATATAATAAAATGTTAGAATAGCTGGGCCTGAAAAATATTTCTTACAATTTCTGTGACCTTATATATACGTATTTGTAACTAATTGTTTATTTTATTATTAATTTGAATTTAATTAAAACTTATCTGAAAAAAATTCGTCCTAAAAGTCCTATCGTAGATGGAAATTATTAAGGGAAATGAAAAAACCTAATATCCTTTCATATTATTTTTCTTGTTTACCAATATATTATTTATAATCCAATATAACAGGGATAACGATATAAGGAAAACAATTCGATTATATTAGAATTTTTACACTCTACACTCTATTTTTTTTTCAATTTTTATTATACTATTATTGTTATATTTACGATTATATGCCGTGCCCACCCAACAATAAGAACCAAACTAATAAAAATGGTATCTACTAAATAACTGTAATATAATATGACAGAATAATAGTTTGATTTCGTTTTTTTTTCTCCTCTTATTGATTGTAATATTAGTTATTATTATTATTGTTGTGTTATAAAAAAAAATATTGAATTTTGATTGCCTTATTATTATTTACGTTGCTTTTGACATATTATTATTATGTACTTATACAAATTTATACATAATATGTATAAATTATGTGATTATTGTGTTGATTTTTTTATTCTACATAATATGTGTGCTTATAAAATGCTGTTTTAGTTTTGATTTGTTTTGTATAACAGATAAATTATAGTATTGTTATGATAATAACGAGAATAATAAAACGTGGCATGGAAAGAAGGCGAAAATTTTCAAAAAAAAATTAAATGATTTATTTATTAAATATGATTATGTAAGTAAATGCATGTATACCTATAGGCGAATATGTTAAGTATTTAAAGGAATAAATATAACAAGGATTTAATCAAATATTTTCATACTCGAAATCGTAATATATATAAAAGTACAATGAATAATAATTAAATGAGCAGATCATTAATGAATTGATTTATAATTAAAGTTTAATAGCAATAATATTATTCAATTACGGATTAAAATAGATAATTATGATTTTAAGAGATTTTCTTAAGGAAATTCGAAGTAATAGTTGTTCCTTCTACTGATGTAGGCTAATTGAAACGATTAACAAGCAGCCATGTCATTGTGTGGTAATTGATTGAGATGATGATATCTGATGCTAAAAAATTGAAGCAACTGGTCTTTGAATCAATTATTACCGCGCTAATGTTCTCTGAAACCAATTATAATGAAACATCATTAAAAATACTGATAACTTTTCTCAACTCAATTGCATTCATCGCCAATCTCAGCAATTTTCCTTTTAAGTGTTAAAAATTTCCCAATAAATCTGATCAATTCGATCAATGTCAAATTTTGTTCAACGATTTTCAAGTGCTAAAAAAATCTATATTTAATTAAATATTTTTATATCTTTTTCTTTAATTCAACAATAATTATAAATTTGACTTAAATTTGTTCTGAAATTACACAAATTTCGATGCAACAAATAAAAATCTTCCTTGCTATCCTTAAATATCTATTTTTCCTCCTAGGCAACACAATATAATTCGTAATATATTTGGTATCAACACAATCTCAATTCCAATTTTTCCTAATTTTTATTCTAGATTATTACTCTAGTATAGCGGTCAAATCAATTATTACTTATACAATATTTTCACTATTTTTTTTAACTATTATACTTTATTATCCTGTGAATACAAATGAATTACAACTGCTTTTTTTTATTCTACATTGCAATTCTTATTTTATATATCATATAACATTCAATTGCAGGGAGTATAAATAAAATAAATGATATAAAAAATACGGAAATGAACAGAAGACGAATAGTAATAGAGAAATAAAGAACTAAATTTTCTTCTCGACAATAAAATTATCTAGAATTCTTTAAACGTAACAACGATTTTTCATTACAAGATAACCAATTCCAAAAAAAAATAAAAAATAAAACTCCCGCACTCCATCAATTCTTCTACATCACTTTAGTGAGACAGAGCACTTTAGTGTCGGTGAAGAAATACAAAAAAGAATGGAATTGATAAAGAAAAAAACTGAAAATTTTTTAATTGAATCCTTTTTAGTTCGTATATTGCTCTTGTACTTTACAAATTGATTCACGGTGTTTCATTTGACTGCTGATTTAAATAGTTATAACAAAACAGTTTCTTCATCAGAATTAAGGAATTAGAGAATTTTTCTCAAATTAATAAATTATCGTTTTTTGCACAAAGTTCTAGCTCTTTGCAATGCAAAGTCTTTCATAAAACAAACATTCAAAATTTGTTTGAATATGCTTCAAATCATGGTTTGATTGCAGCAATAAACAAGTCTTATGAACAGTTTTATGTTATACCATGACTTTAAGAAGATTGTCTCTTCATTTTAATATGATTTTTGGCAGAATTTAATGGACAGATTTTAAAAACTCAAAATTTTTTATTATCATACTAAAATTTTATTGCTTCATACAGATATCATACTCATACCGAATGTTGTATCTGATTTTTATTTTATCTCAATTTTAAATTATTTTCAATACATTTTTAATAACAGTAATTAGATTTGAATAATTTTCAAAAATAGTTGTATGTGAAGAACAAACATTCTGTATAATATGCTGGTGATAAAAGAATCTCATACAAAAAGAATGATTTAAAAAGTTTAGTGCAGAAAAAGGAGAAAATTTCATTTTTATCTTCATTTTTATTTTTAATACTGTATATTTTGTACATGTGAACACACACACAAATATTCTTTCATTCAACATAATATTATATTCATAGAACGAAATCTTTACAATATTAAAATCTCACAAAGTGGTTGCACTTTAATCGACCACACAATATAACCTAAAACATTTATCTCTTTGTTGCGCTTAAAAAGGAGAATAGAAATGAAAACCCGAGTAATGATTTTAATATTAAAAGCAACAACTCTGTATATATAGAATCTAAGTATTCATAGAATGATTCCGAATGAATGCAAAGAATATAAAAATCGTATAAAAATTAAAACGGAAGCACATACCATATAGCAATAGAGTAAAAAAATCCAATAAAATAAAATTGTATTTAAAGGATAATTCTATAAAAAGGAGTTTCTTTGGCGCGTTCTTCATTCTGGTACTTGTGTTTATTTGTTATATTGATATTTCTATTTGTTACTATTAGGTCATTGTTTTTTTTGTTTTTGTAGTTCTGGTCTGCATTGAAATGAGTAAATCAACAATAAGATAAACTTATTATATTTTGCTCCTTTTTTTTGTTTTTGCTACACTGTTAAGTGTTAAGTACGCGATTTAAATTAATAATAATAAAAGTTGTTAACTATTATGGTACATTTTTATGAAAATTTGAATTTATATTTTAGATGGGCTAGTCAGAGTAATTAGTTTTTGGTTTATTTGTTCATATACGTATACATATTATTTCTGCATACATATTTAATATTGAAATTTTTCATAAAAGTTTGAATATTAAAACATGGTGTTGGTTAAAAAATATTTTAATTTCCTCTTTTCTTTTTTGTTCTCTTTAACAAGTTTTAAGCAGTTCAATGACCACAATATTCAAAACATTTATGATTTTACAAATTTAATAAAAAAAAAACTAAATATATTGTAGAAATTCAAAATATAGAACAATTATGCGGTTTAGTTTTGATAAAAATAAAATATAAAAAAATTTGCATACTTTTAGGGATACTTAGATGGAATTTTAGCGATATTATGTGGTAATTTTATTTTATTTCAGCTCTATGTTTTAGGATAACATTATTTGATTTCAAAATCAACAACCTGAGTCATATTAATTTAAATACAAAAACATATACGGTGCGTTAACTCAAGACTAATGTAATAATGTAAATTGTCGCAAAGAAATTTCAGATTATCTAAGATACATCCTGCCTCTTTTAAAAAAATTTGTTCTTAAAACAGATTGTATATTTAATTCTAACCATTGGAAGTATTCACTAACTATTTTAGAAAATAGATATATCATAATTTTTATAAGTATAACAGTTTAGAATAATTTTTATTAGTATAACAGTTTTTTAGAATATTTTTTTATAAGTATAACAGTTTCGATCTAGTATAACAGTTAATAAAATTATAATTATATAACAGTTAATAAAATTATAATTATAATTTATAAAAAAAAGTTAAAATTACTCACCCGTATGCAGCTAACGTTGGATCATAAGGATAATAACCAGTTGTTGGTTGTAATCCCGCTGACGTCCACGCACCCATATCAGATGTTGGTCCGCTATCTTTTAGGCCATATGGATTACTCTGAAAAATTGTATAAAAATAATTGAAAAATTAAAAATTTTTTAAAATGAAATTCAATGTTTTTTTATTTAATGAAAGATAACAAAAAAAATTTTTTTCTTATTCTAATTAAAATTTTTAATTGAAGAAACCTGTAAAAAAAAAACAAACAATAATAACTTTGCAAAAAATGGAAATTATAATTTTATTTTTCTTTTATATTTTACATTTGCATGAAATCTACGACTTTTCTTATTTTTCTTTATACTCTTAAATGAATTTAATTTTTTTCTTTCACTTTTATACACACTTTATACTTTTGAGTCTTTGCAAAAAACGTGTGGAGTTGTGCGTTTAAAATTTGCATAAAATTATTATTGCATATTTTATTAATTTTTTTCTTTTTTTAAATAATAAATGATTTTTAAAAAGAATTAAAATTATACAATGAATTGAACCATACCATACATGCTAATTTGTAAAAGTTAAGCAGGGGGAAAATTGAGAAAATATATAAAAATTGTTATATTGTTAAATAGGCGAATTTAAACAGTAGCTCTGAGGAAAATCAGCAAAATTTATTTAAACATAAGAAAATAGAAATTATTTAATAATTTGCAATGTAATGTATTTTGAGTCTATGTAGATCATATTGCCATGCTATTGCACTATATAATTTAATTTTATTATTGATTTACGAGCGCCCAATAATGTGCGTATAAACTTCTTTAAATAATATGAAATGAAATCAGTAGTTTTCAGTAGTCATCATCACTTTTATAATGTATTCAATTTGTAGTTTTTTATTATTTTAATTTATTACTTAATTTCAGAATCTAAAAACATGAGCAGTACCTAGATATTGTTGTATTCAAATGCGATTTGATTAAATTAAATATGCGATGTTTTCAATAACTTTTATTAGCATGCTATAACGTAATAATTTTCATTCACTATTTAATTTTTAAATATTTAAGTATGATGAAAAGAGAATCAATTCATAATTTTCATTTGCGGTTGTATAAAATGTTATATACAAGTTTGTGGTTGTAAGGGAAAACTTTCTATATCTCTAATATTTGAGTTTCTGTAAATAATATTACTCTTTTATATTAACTTAATGGAAGTTTCTTCTATAAATGACATCTGGTCTGCAATTGTATCTGAAGAAATTTCTATTAAGTTAATATTATTAGTGTAATAGGCACATTACTTATTAATTAAAAAACTACACGTTGTATCAGTAATTCAATTACTCTTTTATGTTTTTCCCTCAAACTTTGGAATTAAGTGAAAAATTGCAATAAATTCAAATTTGAATTCAGATGGATAACTCTTTAATTCAATTGGAAATTGAAGATACTTGCGAAGAAATTTTTTCCATCACACTGGACAAGGTTAACCGCAAAGTTTTTGGGGATAGGTAGAAACCACAATCCTACTATTGCGAACTTCTTTAACTGGGTACTGACCGGTATGGTTTCACTTGAATAACCTGGAGAATCGAACAGTCCCTTGTACTAATTCCGTGAGGGCGATAACGATACCATCGTGAACATTCTTTTCGACTACCCGGTATTGACTGTTCGGCATCGCAATTGCCTTGTTTGGCAGGGTTTCGTGGGCGTTTGCGAAGTGCTGTCTAATTTCCTTGGGATATCTTGAATTTTATACTTAATACGGAAATATTATTAAGTCGAGAAAGTCTGCGGTTGCCCGGGGGATGTGTCCTCTTGCTCCATTCGGTTCCCTTGAAATCTACAATTTACAATCTACTCATACCAATCATTTAATTCTCAAAAACGTTTTTTTTTGCTCAATACCTTTCTTTTAAATCAGGTTCTCATTTATTAATGTACTTATAATTCTCTTGTATATTAGGTATTATAGGTATATAGGCATATATTTTTTATTATATGATACTGTGAAGCTCTGTACATATTTTCAATTATAACATCAAAAAACTTTTATTAAAAAATTTTTTTTTTTAAAATTATTGTTGATTTATTTTAATAATATTAAAAAAAATTTATTGTTTACATACAAAATATTTCTGCACAATTACACTATTTTTTTCTCTCTCTCTCTCTATTTTATAATTTTACTAATTTATTTATTTTTTATATTGCATTATTTTTATTTTTTATAATTTCAATTTTCCATTAGAATGGGTAAACAATGCGAGTAAATATTTTAAAATCACTTACTAGATATAAATTTAACACGAAATACAATGTATGGAAGTAAATTTGTAAAACAATAATGAAAATAAATTGGAAAAAAAAAAACATGAAATTTAGTGTTATTAAATAAAATCTTTTCATTCTAATATATCAAAGACCCAATTAGACATATAACAAACTAATATAGAAATAGAAATTTCAGCAGAAAATTGCTCATAATTGCTTCTTTTTCAGCCTGCTGAAATTATTGCTCAATAATTTTTTACAATAAAACTGCAAAATTTTAGAAAAGTAGAAACTATCTAAGTCAACCTTACCAGTAAGTAGTAAAACACAATGAAGCACCAATTGAATGAAAGTGAGGCAGAGACTTGATTTTCTGACACGTATTCTGTTCAAGATAGAATATAAAACCTTGATAGGTTATAAACCAGGTAAATCCCTTCCAAGGACTATGAGTCAAAATTACAAACCGGATTCAGCCCTGTACTCCAAAAAGTAAAAAAATTATTCTAAAATTAATTTTTTTCTCCAGCTTTAAAGCCTCACTTTTTTTTTTGGCCCATACGAGTTTTCCTTATTATTTTTCTTCTTGTAAAGAAAATTATTTTTCTTCTTTTCTATAAATTATTTATGATGCATGTGAGAAGAATTTTGAAAAATGAAAAAAACAACAAAACATGAAAAATAAAATTTTTACACTCATACTCAAATTCCAACATAGAATTGAAATTTTAACAAGACTCCAATACATACTTAGTTGTAATAGTGTCATTATTATTGTTTAGTTCAAACTAATAGAAAGAGATAGAAATAAATGCGTTATCATTTTAAAACTAAATTGGAGTTGGAAAAAAAAAAATTTTTTTTTTGTATAGTATGAAAAATGCAATTTTCCATTTTCAATTTTTTAATTCTGTTTTTCCATATTATTCTTTGCGTGCGTTTCAGTCATGATTTTTTCTATTATTCTTGTTTTTTTTTTTTATTTTATTTTCATTATATTTTACGTACAACATTTTTTTGTTTTTCATTTTTTCTTTTTGTTATCGATGGCATGAATATTATTGCAGTCATAGTCATCACCCACTGCGTACTAATTAGCATTTTATGAATTGTTATAGCTCGCTTTTATAAAATACATACATGCAACCATACACAAATTCATTTCATACATGTTGTATATCTATGCATGTTGTGTGTGTCTGTTGAACTATAGGTATGAGAATATTTGAATACTTTTAAATATTATGCAGTTTATATTGTGTGCATTTTCTCGTTCAAAATATATATATTTTTTTTGTATTAATATTCTCTGATTATACTGTATAGGCATTATAATATTGATCAATTGAACGCACATCATTCCATTGGTATGATTATGTATTATGGTGTAATCATACATACGTATATAATGCAAATTATAATGATTGTGTTGTCTAGGTTTATAATAAATAAAATGAAGGGATGCGTGTTTTCACAGTCAACAATCTTCAACTTCAATACACTAGTGTAAGAATAATTAAACTAAACCAAAAGAAAAAAAATTTTTTAAAAATTATGGAAAGTAGTTGGCAAAATAAAAAATAAAATTTTTTTTTTTTTAATTGTTTGGGCTTTTTCACGACATGGAAAAGGTGGTTTAAAAGTAGAGCTTTTCATCGATGTTAAAAGATTATCTACGTTAAATAGTGAAATTGCTATAAGCAAAAAATTATTTTTTTGTTTTATTGTTCTTTTTATATTTTAATAATGTTACTGCCATTGTACTCGTGTAGTGATAAAATGCTACCTGTTTTCAAAATGTTATCAGTTGATTCTATATTATAGTATATTGTGAGTGTGAACGTTAGATATAGAATGTACAATTTATATAGGATATAGCAAGGTTATAGTTTAGCATTGGTTTTCTTGTACAAGGCAAATTTTTAAAATGTATTACATGCAATACTAGATTGATTTTGTTATAACATTTTGTTAATTCAGATTTTTGAAGAATAAACCGATTTGCTGCAGCTTAGATGGTAAAGCGTTATAGAGCGGTAAATATTAGATGGTCCAGTTTCAGAAGAAATAATTTTTTCAATTTTCTGCCTTGACTCAGTCATTTGGTTACGTTATCTAACTGTTATACGGAAAGAATTTCTAGTATTTATTCTAAAATGGATGTCATTTTTAATTTCAGATCTTAAAATTACAATTATGTTTAGATAACTATTTTTGACGTGAGCACAAAGCTTGTAATGATGTAGTAGTTGTTCTATAGCTATAAATTGAATTTTTCGAAAAATTTTTCAGTGTTTTCTTATAAAAGAAATTCTTTTGTGAAAATTTCTGATGACATTTAAATTTTCTTGTCACTTATATATTTCAAAATTATGATGAAAAAATTTATTATGCTTAGTACTTGATCTATTGAATGAGTACTCTTGACAATAGATTATAATTATATTGAACACAATATTCACAAAAAATTGATAAGCGGCTACCAAATTTTATTATTTATTTTTGCAGTTTTCTTCAAAATACAAAAAAAATTTATAGTGGGACGAGGGTTACTCCCTTGCAGCTTGAAATGGAGCAATATTACTCTTTTATGGATTCAATTTAATAAAATACATACAGGTAAATATTTGTAGTAAATTTACTCCATAATTTAATTAAAAATTTATTTTTTGCTTGCTCTATATTCTTGTTCTTATTGTCATATTGAATACTGTTGCTTTAGATTTTGATACTGTTGTTAAAGGTATTCGGAATCTTCGAATTTACTGTAGTATTATATGTGAAAATTTTTTACAGTATAGAAATTTAACCGTACTAAATTTTTTTTAACCA